GTGTGTGTGTGTGTGTGTGTGTGTGTGTGTGTGTGTGTGTGTGTGTGTGTGTGTGTGTGTGTGTGTGTGTGTTTAAACCTAGGGAGAGGATTCTACCACCTTCCTAATTAGCGTTTACAGGTTTCTACCAGCATGAATAACTTCTATCTTAACTAAAATCCTTCTTCCCAATAGCAGCCACTTTCCCTGTCCAAAGAGTCAAAAACGTAGAGAAAGAAAAGCAAGGAGCTTGAGAGGACAAAGCCAGACAGGTCAAAGGACACTGAGTTTTAGCTTATGAACTTGGGGCTGGGTTAGCAATGGAGGTTGTGAGGAAGGTTCCTGTGTCCAACCATGGTTCAGAATAGATGAACTTAGGGTCTCTTCCCAACTCTGAGCTTCTTGTATTCTGGCCTTGCACCCATCCGACAGGTTTACCAGGGGTTTCAGAGCTGCCCAGTTTAGTACGAATTGCTGACCCTTCTCTGTGGAGCCAGAAGGTCCACTTAGCAGCAAATGAGCTAGTCTGGAACTCTTTGGCAACATAAGGCAACTGGAATGTGTTAAAGATTAGATCTGTGGAAATTGGATCACAGTCCACAATAGTCAATCAATTATGTATGATTCATATGAGGGCCCCTTGGTGCATACTTATATAAGAAATAAAGAGGTGGGAGAGCAGATGGATATTGAAAAAGACAACGTCTTCTGTTTTATGAGAATACGTAAAAGTTACTCTACAGATACAGAAAAATACATATTGACTCAATATAAATCAAATTAAAGGCATGAAAGAATAATCGCAGTCTGTTTAATTAAAGAAAATGTAAAGGAATAACAATTTGCCCTATATTGTACAGATTTAGTAATTTTTCCGTGGCCTTGCTGTGTACAAGAAATTAATTCTGTTAAGAATCAAAGGTTCTTAAACCTGGTAGCAAGATGTATGCACATGCAAGCCAACAGTTCAAACCTCTTCAAGTGCCCAATGGGTGGTAATAGGAGATTAGAGGAGGGAGGAGAGGTCTCTCCAAATACCAAGAAGGTTCTAGAACTCAAAGGAATATGGTAGGATTCAGGAGTCAACATCTTGGAAGCCAAGTTTGAGTCTAATGGCAAAAATCTGAAATAAATCTGGACATACTTGATGTATCCAAAGTGCTGCTCATTTTATCCAATGGGTGTTTAACAGAATCTACAATGTGTCCGACATCATGCAAAGCTCTGTGACTGCAAAGGAAGGCACAGCCCTTCAAACACTTCACCTTGTCTCCCAGCTCATCGGACTTCTAGGAAATACAACTTTTGCAGCTCCCATGGAGGGCTACCCTTATTTCCTCTGCAAGATGATAGCCAATTTAAAATGCACAAGCAGATTATGGTACATTATTTTGATTCCCATAGATGGAAAGGGCTTCATACAACTAGAGAATGCTTACAAAACTTGTCTAGAATCATGGAATCTCTTCACTGAAAGGAGCCCCCCCAAAGACATGTCCTCCTGAACATGACATGAAGTTGACAGGTGTAAGCCGACTGTGGTGGGCTGGGTGCTGCAGTGTGTGGGGCTCAGCCTACCGAGCAAGCAGGACGAACTGTAGAACTTTTCCTCAAACAGCCACTGGTGTCAGGCCCAGAGAAGGCACTGAGTACTAGTTGGAATGAACTGAAATGACTGAGAAGTCAAATAAATTGAATTGATTTCAGATTTTTTATTTTACAGAAAAGCGATTTTGCTTTGTCAGATACAGATGCTCGCTAAGCATGGTGCCTCTGGAAATCTATACAAACATGGGAGGGGGACCCAGGTCAAGGTGGTGGAAGGGAGATACTTTTCCTAGTTAATACAGTATTTTGTACTATTCAAATTAGTTGTGTGCATTACCAAAAAAATGGGTATACACTAAGATAAAAAGTCAACACTGGTGCATGTAGATAGGTTGGAAAACTAATTAAGAGAGGATCTATAATTACCTTCTCGGTGAGTATAAAGCAACATGTTTACATGGATGGGAAGGTGTGGGGTAGTTTCCCCCCTCTTAATTAACTATAGATTTCTGGTGAAATCTGTTTCATTTGATTGTTGTACTTTAGTAAATTCTTGATTAATAGTTGAGTGCCCACCACATCTTTGGTTTGTTGGTCATTGTAAAATTATCTGCTCACAAGATTCTATAACCTCCCTTTGGACTCACAGCGCTGATGGCAGGAGCCTCGCCAATGTCTGTAACTCCTGTCCTGCTTTGAACAAGGCCACCCTCCCACTCCCCATTAGCCCCACCTCGTGTGAACAGCAGAAAAAAAGATGCTCTTTACCCCTAGTCAATGTCATTCCTAGATCCAGGTATTTTTATTTCCTCCATCTTTCCCATTGGCATTGTCTTTATTTGAAGGTGAATTATCCTCAGGTTCTTGAATCCTTCAAAATCTTATCTTTCTTTTGGGGAAGGACAAAGCACTTTGCACGTTATCATCTTATCCGTCACTTACTGGCTATGGGACTAGAACAGAGCAGATAATTTTCTATTTTAACAGCAGAGGTTGAGGCAAAGGGGTAATAAAACAATTACCAGCATTTTAAAAGAGCTTTCATAGTAGATAAAAATATGATCTCATTACCTCCTCAAGGTAACCAAATGAGGTAAGTGATTCTACTACACAAAAAAACAAAGATTAAAGAAATTAAATGACTCACTCAAGGTCACACAGGTAGTAGATGACCTAGAGGACACCATGACCCCGAAGCTATGCTTCTTCCAGGGTTACATGCACCAACTATTGTCACTGAAAGAAATATCCATTCAGTCTGTCTGCCTCCAAGCAGCCAGTGATTTGTTCCTTCCTCCTGCTGAATCCTGCCCTTGCATCTGTACAGACTGTTTTATTACCCCTTTGCCTCAACCTCGTCTGTAAAAATATGCCTTCTGAAATTGCAAAGGTAGAAAATTTGTCTCTTACATTTTCTGCATTTTCCCATTGGCTCATGTTGGTTTGATTCAAATCTGAGCATCCTCTATAGCAGCTGCTCACTGTTCCTCTGCAGGCTGTCTTCTACTGGGACCGGCCCCAGAGACCAGGAGCAGGTGTCCCATGCACACTGCAGGCAGTGACCCCAAGCATCACGATGTCACAGCGGCCAGTCAGCAATCCTGTATAATGCCTTTCATTTGCTCAACACTGTCAAGTCAGTTTTACAGCCATCATCCCATTTGATTCTAGTTGTAATCCTATAAAGCGGGCCGGACAGCTCTTACTCTCTTTCCCACCTGAGGAAACTGAAGCTAGAGCAATGACTTGCCCAAGGCTACAAAGTTAGTAAGAGGCATAATTGGGACAAGGCTCCAAGTACCCCGGTTCCAGTTCCTGCTTCAGCGCTCCTTTCCTGTCCCACACCGGGGCACAGCGACCTGGGCTCCTCATGGCCGGCAGCGCTTGAGGCCCTTGACTTTGTCTTCTGGTGCTTGTAATGATATCTGCTGCAAGCAGGCTACAGGGTGGCAGGAAGAAGATGTTAGAGACACTGACCTGAGTTTGAATCCTGACTTAGTTTCTGTATCCCTTATATTGGGATGCTGCTACTGCCAATATTAATATCAACAATACAATAGTTGTTTTAAGAATTTAAAATATGTAAAGTTAGAGCACAATCACTCAAAGACAGTGTCATTGTTTTTCCTAATTGGACTGAAATTTCATCAGGACAGATACTATTCCCTTCAAGTTTCTTAAGTTTCCCTCAGCGCTTACCACAAAATTAGCCACCTATCTGAGACAAGTAGGCAGACCCATTTATGAAGTACTGTAAATATCCTTTGCCCCTCCAACAGCCCACCCCACTTCCAGAAGCTTCCCTCAAGGCCAACTCTGAGCCAAACTTGGAAACAAATTAACTTTCCTCTTTGGCCTCTCCTTTCTCTTCATTCTAGGCTTGCTCCCACTTCATTCCCTCCGTCCCACCTCTTCTGACTTCAGTCCAGATCAAGGTCTCTTCTCAGCTCCAGTCTCTTCTCGGAACTGCCTGTGGCTCTCGTCAGAGGTCTTGTATTGAGTCTACATGAGGTGGGGGAGGAGACGGGCTATATGTCAACCCCGGAGGCACCACCACTTTCTGGGCACACACCATTTATAGAAGAGGGATTGAACCCCTTCCTGGGCTTCTCCCTGGGGGATGAGGCCAACTGAGATGCAGGGAGAAATTCTGTGGTAGGTAAATGGAAGTGGCCTCAAAGATTAAAGGAAATGATTTTTCAGTGGAAAATGTCAGGTAATTAAACATCATTTGGGACATTAAGTCTTGCTAAATTGTACCCTTGCCACAAAACGGAAAGCTCTAGACTTTCTTTAACTAGGCATCAGTACTTGCTAAAATTGCAAGTTTCCACAGGAGCTGGTGAGGGGGTCACACTTAAAGCTGTTATCAACTATTTAAGGTGTAGGTAGTATGACTGGGTTTCAGGCCCTTGTCAGAGACTAGTTTTTGAAAGGGGCACTGAAAGACCAAGAGGGGTGACACCTGGAGGGGACATCACCAAGTAAGAAAATGACAAAGCACAGCAATAAAGAAAAAATTCTATCCATCCCTGATATCTATTCAACATGGAAAGATAAAACCTCTGGTTCTGAGTAGCTCCCTCTAGGGGATGCACTAAGTATGTAAACTTAGTTAAAGCAAGGTGAATGAAATGCATGCTGTAACAGAGGTGCAGGCATTGTGCTGCAGGAATCGAGAAGAAGAGCAATTAATGATGAGGGAGGTTAGTAATGTTTTCATAAAAATAGTAATATCTGCCTGGCCGGGCATGGCTCAGTGGTTGAGCATTGACCTAGGATCCAGGAGATCACAGTTCAATTTCCAGTCAGGACACATGCCCAGGTTCTGGGCTCGATCCTCAGTGGGGGGCATGCAGGAGGCAGCTGGTCAATGACAAGATGTTTTAACTCTCTCTCTCCCTCTCCCTTCCTCTCTCTGAAATCAATAAAGATATATTAAAAAAAAAAAAAAAGTAACATCTGCCCTAGCCAGTTTTGCTCAGTGGTTAGAGCGTCAACCTGCGGACTGAAGGGCCCTGGGTTTGATTCGGGCTCTGGCCAAGGGCACGCACCTCCGTGGCAGGCTTGGGGCACATGCAGGAGGCAACCAATTGATATGTCTCTCACATTGATGTTTCTCTCCCTATCCCCCTCCCTTCCACTCTCTCTGAAAAAGCAATGGAAAAAATATCCTCAGGTGAGGATAAATAAAAAAGAAAAAGAAAAAAGGATTAGTAACATCAGAGACTGGCCTTGAAGGATGAGTGACTTCAACAAGCAGAGGAGGGAGGGAAAGATCAATTCTAATACAGTTCCTGACACACGATGGATGCCGACTGGTGTACCAGTGACATCTGCACAGCTACTCAGGTGGAGAATCAGGCTCTATATGGAAGCTGGATCCTTGAAAGACATCTTGGTATAGATTTTAAAATCACAAAGGCAGAAGCTTTGGGAGAACATGATCACCACCACAAACATGAAGCGGTATTAGCCAGGCAAGGAGGAAATAAAGGCAGGGACAAAGCATGTGCAGGACACAGGTGAGAGAACACAGAGTGCTCCACGCAGCAAGAAGGTGAGAAGCAAG